AGCCTCAGCAGCCAGCAGCTGCCTGAGTGAAGAAAAGCCTCCAGCTTCAGTGGGCCAGGAGCAGGAGGTTGAAGCAGGAGCTGAAGCCAAGAGTGAGGGGCTTTCACCCAGCCCCTAGAGCCTGACACTTTGAACTTGGACTTAAAGCCTCCAAACTGTGAGAGAATAAACTCCTGTTTGTTCAAGCCATCCCATTCGTGGTATATTCCTGTCAGAGCGGCATTAGGTAACCAAAACACCATCATTATAGCCACTATGTCAATCCGTCTTGTTGAGGGCCTTCTCCTTTTTCGCTGATGCTCCATTTTACCAAGCATAATACCCTTCTCCAGAGAATGGTCCCTCTGACTACATGACCCAAATAGGTGAGATAAAGTCTGGCCATTTTCGCTTCCAAGAAGCAGGAGCATTCCCCCTACACTTCTTTCAGGACAGATTTCTTAGTTCTTTCAGCAGTCCATGGTACTTTTAGCATTCTTTGCCAATACTGCAACTCAAAACCATCAACTCTTCTTTGGTCTTCCTTAGTCATTGTTCAGCTCTCATATGCATATGAAGCGACTGAACAAATGGCTTGTGTCAGGTGCATCTTAGTCTTCAAAGAGACATCTTTGCTCTTCAGCACCTGAAAGAGGTCTATTTGCAGCAGATTTGCCCAGTGCAATACGTCTACTGATATCTTGACTGCTGCTTCCATTGGTGTTGATTGTAGAACCAGGTAATATGAAATCTTTGACAACTTCAGTCTTTTCTCCATTTATTGTGATGCTGCTTATTGGTCCAGTTGCATGGATTTTTGTTTTCTTTGTATTGAGGTGTAATCCATACTGCAGACTGCAGTCTTCAGTCTTCATCAGTAAGTGCTTCAAGTCATCCTTACTTTCAGCAAGCAAAGTTGTGTCATCAGCATATAGCAGGTTGTTAATGAGTCTTCTTTCAATCCTGTTGCCACATTTTTCTTCATATAGTCCAGCTTCTCGGATTATTTACTCAGCATACAGATTGAATTATGTGATGAAAGGATACAAACATGACACACTCGCTTCCTGATTGTAAACCATACAGTATCTCCTTGTTCTGTTTGAAAGCCAGCCTCCTGGTCTATATACAGGTTCCTCATGAGTACATTTAAGTGTTCTGGAATTCCCATTTTTCTCAGTGTTATCTGTTATTTGTTATGATCCACACAAAAATTGAATGCTTTTGCATAGTCAATAAAACACAGGTAAACATCTTTCTGGTATCCTTTGCTTTTAGTCAAAATCGATCTGACACTGGTAATGATACCCCTCGTTCCACATCCTCTTCTGAATCCAGCTTGAATTTATGGATATTCTCTGTCAACATACTGCTGCAACCATTCTTTGAATTATCTTCAGTAAGATTTTACTTGTGTGTGATATTGATGCTATTGTTTGATAATTTCCACATTCTGTGGGATCACCTTTCTTTGGAATGGGTACAAATAATGGATCTCTTGTAGAGTTGGCCATGTGTCTTTCACATTTCTTGACATAGCTGAGTGAGTGCCTCCTGCGTGACATCTGCTTGTTGAAACATCTCAGTGGGTATTCTGTCAATGACTGGAGCCTTGTTTTTTGCCGGGAGTTCTGGTTGTGTAGTGCCTAATGCACTTGAATGCTAACCAGAAGACTGGTGGTTCAAACACACTAGCCACTCCTTGGAAGGAAGGTTGGATAGTCTACATCCGTAGTGATACCACCTTGGAAACCCAAGGAGGGGTCACTATGAGTTGGGTCCGACTCCATGGCAATGGTTGCGTTGTGTTTGTTGTTTTCAGCCTGTTCCTTCAGTGCAGCTTTGACTTCTTCCTTTAGTACCATTGGTTCTTGATTATATGCTACCTTCTGACATGGATGAACATCAACCACTTCTTTTTGATACATTGACTGTGTATTCCTCCCATCTTTTAAGGTTTCCTGCATCATTCAGTATTTTGCCTATAGAATCCTTCAATATTGCAACTCAAGGCTTAAATATTTCTTTTGGCTTGAAAAATGCCAAGTGTGTTCTTCCTTTTGGTTTTCTAACTCCAGATCTTTGCACATTTCATTATAATAATTGACTTTGTCTGCTCAAGCTGCTCTTTGAAATCTTCTGTTCAGCTCTTTAATCTTGTCATTTCTTCTATTTGCTTTAGCTATGAGTCGAATCGACTTGATGGCAGTCAATTAGGTTTTTTTTTTTTTGTTTGTTTACTCTCCATTGAAGGGCAACTTTCAGAGTCTCTTCTGACACCCATTTTGGTCTTTTCTTCCTTTCTTATCTTTTTAATGACCTTTTCCTTTCTTCATGGATAATATTCTTGATGTCATCCCATAGTTCCTCTGGTTTTCAGTCATTGGTGTTAGTGCATCAAATCTACTCTGTACATGGTCTCTATATTCAGGAGAGATATACTCAAGGTCATATTTTGGCTCTTCTGGACTTGTTTTAATTGTCTTCACCTTCAACTTGAATGTGCCTATATGCATTTGGGGGTTTCTTCCAATGGTCAGCTCCTGGCCTTGTTTTGGCTGAAGATACTGAGTTTCTCCATTGCCTCTTACCAAAGATGTAGTCAGTGTGATTTCTGTGTACTCCATGTGGCGAAGTCCACATGTGTAGCCACCATTCATTTGGTGAAAAAGGTATTTGCAATGGATACGTCATTGATCTTGCTAAATTCTATCACATGTTCTGCGGCATTTTTTTCTATCACCAAGGCCGTGTTTTCCAACTACTAGTGATGCTTCTTTGTGGTGATCCTTCTTTGTTTCCAACTTTTGCGTTCTAGTCACCAGTGATAATTAACACATCTTGATTGCATGTTCGGTCACTTTCAAGCTTCAGAAGTTGGTAAAAATCTTCACCTGTTTCATCTTTGGCTTTGGTGGTTGGTGCGTAAATTTGAATAATTAACTGGTCTTCTTTGTAGGCATATGGATATTATCCTATCACTGAAAGCATTGTACTTTAGGATAGATCTTAAAACATTCTTTGTGATGATGAATGCCAGGCCATTCCTCTTCAATTTGTCATTCCCAGTGTAGCAGATCATATGTTTGTCTGATTCAAATGGCCAAAACCCAGTTCGTTGCAGCCACTAATGCCTAGGGTAGCGATCTTTTTTCTTTTTTAAATTTTTAATTTTTTTAATTGTAATTTGGGTGAAAGTTTATAGAGCAAATTCACTTTCCATACAGCAGTTCACATACACGTTGTCTGATGACATTGACAGTTTACTCCAGTGCATCACCTGCCCTCCCACTTCTTCCCGATAGTTACCTCTTCCCTGTGTCCATCCCTTCATGCATTCCTGCCCCCTGAACTGTCTTCCTGTGTATAAACAGCCCTTCTTTCTCCCATGATTGTTCTCTCCAAGGGATGTATCTACCTCAGGTGCATGTTCAACTCTTATACCTGTCTTTTATTTGGCTGGAAGCCACAGGTGTGGGGTCACTTCCAGACCTGAAGGGCAGCTAGGGATCATAGCCTCAGTGGTTACACCAGGCTCTGTCAGACCAGCAAAACCTAGTCTCCCTTTTTTTTCCCCCCCAAATGATTTTGAGTTTTGTTCCACATTTTTCTCCTTCTATATCCAGTATCTCCTCCATACATCCCCCTCTGAGTGGTTGATGGTGGTAGCCGGGCACCATCTAGTTCTTCTGGTCTCATAGTCGTATAGGCTGAGGATTGCATGGTGTACAGTCACGAGGACTAATTATTTCCATGAATCTTTGGTTTTCTTCATTCCTCATTGCTCTAGACAAGGAGAGACCCATCGTTGCATCTAGATGGCTATTTGCAAGCTCTTAAGATCCCAGTTGCTACTCACCAAAGTAGGAGGTGGAACAATGTTTCATGTAGTAGGTTATGCCAATTGAGCTTGATGTCCCTTGTGACTGTGGTCCCGAGCCCACAAGTTCAACTACTCAGTCCCTCTGGGTAGCTGTCTGTGACTGAGAAGTGACTACAACCTTGTCCCTTGTCAGCTCTACTAGAACCCTGGGAGTTCTTACAGAACATACACATACACTTGTAGAACCATTGTCTGCCAACCCTATACGTGGTCTTGGGTACACTCCCTGTTGCATAGACATATCTAATAGTTCAGCCTTTCCACTCATCTATCCACCCGTATACCTGTGTTTGGCTTCACTGAAAACACAGTACTATATGTACAAAAGAGTTCATCATTGTTGTCTGTACCTTAAGGTATTGATCTTTATGAATTCTATTTCATTTTTGACAACTTCCAGTTTTCCTAGATTCTTAATTTATATATTCCATGTTCTGATTATTAATGGATATCTGCAGCTGTTTCTTCTCATTTTGAGTCATGCCACATTAGGAAATAAAGATCCTGAAAGCTTTACTCCATCCACATCATTGAGGTCAGCTCTACTCTGAGAAGGTAGCTCCTTCCCAGTCTTATCTTGAGTGCCTTCCAGCTTGAGGGGCTCATCTTCTGACACACTATTGGACAGTGTTTTAGAGCTATTCATAAAGATTTCCAGTGATTTATCAGACAGTGTGTTTCACTGCTATTCATAAGGTTTTCACTGGCCAGTTCTTTAGGGTAGACATAATCACATAGTTGAATACTATTGTAGCCTAGTTGATCTAGATTTGAAGTTTTTGAAATACTGTTGTTGTTAGGTGCTATTGAGTTTGCTCTGACTCATGGAGACCCTGTGTACAACAGAACGAAACAATACCTGGTCCTGCACCATCCTCACAGTCTTTGCTATCCCTGAGCTCATCGTCATAGCTCATTGAGGGCATCTTCCCCTTTTTCACTGACCCTCTGTTTTACCAAGCATGATACCAAGCATGTTGTTCGTTTTGACAACATGAGCAAAGTATGAGAGATGAAGTCTAGCCATTCTTGCTTTGAAATGCTGGGAGGGTTAATAGGTGTGTTAGACCCCTGCCCCCAAAGAATTTGTTTCCTATTTCCTCTGCATGCTAATGTTTTATCTTTCTGATCTCTATAGTGCCATTAAACTGAGGCCAAAGGAAGGAGAGACGTACTTTGATGTTGTGGCCATCATTGACCCTGTCACCAGAGAAGCACAGAGACTTGCCCCATTGCTCTTGGTAAAGACAAATGCTGGTCATCTTTATCTGTAATTTTGAGACTATTTGTGATCTCTCAGTTCCCTTAGTTATAGTCCAAAGGGAAAAGTGGTCCAAGGCATATTTGGCATAACAAGTCTTTATGAAGACTGATAAGTGTTGTTGATAATAGTTCTGAAAAGAACTTCATAACCTTAGAAAGTTGGTACAAATTTGGCTGATTCCATCATACTCATGTAATTAAAAAAATATTAACAAAGCAATTTAGAGAAAATGTCATTTAATTAAATGGGTTAATATCATATTTGAATTTACAGTTATAAAGAGATAAAAGAAATCTGCTTTTTCCTTTTCCTTTTTTTTAACCAACATGGATTTTTGTTGTAGCATAACTTTCAGATATATGTAAGTGTTACAGTTTTAACATTTACAAAAATACAGTTGCTTCACAGGTTTTTTTCCTGCTGTTGTTTTCATTATTTTTTTTAAAGGTAACATGTTACCTTTGTTTTCAATTAACCTTTGTTTTCTTTATAAGTGTCTGTGTATGTATATGAGTCTATATATTTATCCCTCCGTACTCTAGCATATAAGCCACATTGATAAATCTTTCAAATTTTCTTTGTGTAGGTAGATACCCATTATCTCTATTCATTGGTTCACCACAATTGTGCTTTAAAGTATATAAAAGAGCAATGATCTACCATAGTCTTATTTCTTGATTTCTTGGCCATTTTGTCTGTATGTGTGGTTTAGATTCTGCACTAGAGTTGTGATTTCCAAAAGTTTTCCAGTGCAGATTTGATGACATTATATTTGCATATTTTCTTGAGATGATAAGGAATGTTCTCTGTCTTAATTTAGTGTCAGATCATAAAATTCTAAAGAGAAAAGCTAAATGTTTTATACCAGAAATGTTTTGTCTCAGTTACCTTTTTTTATAAGAAAAAGTTTATTTTTTGTCATCTGGTTTACTTTTAGGTTATGACTCAACTGATAAACATGAATCTAAGAGTATTTATGAACTGCCAATCTAAACTTTCCGACATGCCATTAAAAAGGTAAAACAAGCTGTTTGAGAAAAGTACAATGATAAAATAATACTGAATCCAAAATCTGGTACTTTATGTTAAGTGATCATATGGTTTACTTGTAGACATCATGTGTGAAAAGGTCATTTATTGAGTTTCAGCATTGCCAAATTTTTACTCTGGCCACAAATTCAAAGAGCTTAGTTTGGCCATCAACACACACTACTTCCACTAATACTTTTCTTTCTTTCTTTCTTTTTTGTTTTCCACCATTTTCATTTTATAGCTCTTGAATTTCAAAACATTTGGATCAGTATAGCTATTAAATTTACATAGTTAAAATGTGCCTCTGGTGGAATATAGACACTTGTCTATACTTTTTCATCTTAAAAGAAAAGAAATGATTTCAAGTTGGGATATATGTGTCAAAAGAAGCTTGCTGAGGGGCATTTGCATATACCTTGAAAAGGAGGACAGACTATGCCATATGTCATCATGAGCTTTAAAATGATGCTTATTCATGAGAAAAGTGATATAAAAAGCAGTTATAGTAATAGTGTAGATTCTAGTTAGATTAGTTAGATTCTAGATTGAAATGCATTTGAAAGTGACGAAAGTTAGTCCTTATTTAGAAAATATGTTTGCAATATTATATAGCTTTAGTGTTTTCAGGGCTAGCATGAGAACCCAGTCACCATTTAGGACTTTGTTTTTTTATGAGAAAATGAATTCTTCTTCATAAAGGGAGGAAATTGTTCAGAAAATGCTTGCTACTCCAACAGCAGTTACACATGACATTACAAGAAGTAATGGCCTTCCTTTCTTTCATACTCCTTCCCTTGTCTTTCATCTATACCAGTGGCTGGAGACATAATTAGGTCAAATATAATTTTAGAAATACTTTTCCTAATCTGGAAGAAGAACCTTCCAAATGTAGTTTGTGTAAACCCATAGACTTTTCCCTGTATAAATACTTGTAAACTCAGGTCACTTACAAAAAAAAATCTAACACCTTTTTCTTTTTTTTAAATTTCAGCTTTTACCGCTATGTCTTAGAACCAGAGATTTTGTTCACTTCAGAAAATAGTTTTGCTAAGGGTCCAATAGCAAAATTTTTGGATATGCCACAGTCTCCTCTCTTTACTCTGAATTTGAACACACCTGAGAGTTGGATGGTAGAATCTGTCAGAACACCCTATGATCTTGATAATATTTATTTAGAAGAGGTAAGAGTGTCAATTGTTTCCAGATGTCTAATGCATGTATAAAACCTGTTTAAGATATATTGATGTATTATAGCCAGATCGTGTCTCACTGAAAAGACTAAATTATAGTCTATAAGGGCTTCTAAGTGCATGATATTCAAGTATAATTAAAATTTTTTAAATAATAACTTTATTAAAATATAATTAACATACCATAAAATTTACCCTTTTAAAATACATAATCAAATGTTTTTTCCTATATTCAGAGTTGTGTAACCATCACCATAATCCAATTTTAGAACATTTTCATCATCCCAAAAAGAAAATCTTTGTCCATTAGCAGTTACTTCCTACTTCCCTTGTCCCCCTGCCCATGGCAACTGTGAATTTATTTTCTACTCTATAGGTTTGCCTCTTCTGACATTTCATATCAGTGAAATCATATCATATGTGGTCTTTTGTGACTGGTTTCTTTCACTTCGCAGTTCTCAAGGTTAATCCATGTTGTATCAACACTTCATTCCTTTTTATGGCTGGATTCCATTGTAGGATATATACCACATTTTGTTTATCTGTTCATCTGCATTGGACATTTGAGTTGTTTCCACTTTTGGGCTGTTACTAATAATGCTGCTATCAATACTCATGACAAGGTTTTGTATGGACATATGATTTTGTTTCTCTTGGATATATATCTAAGAGATAACTCTGTTTAACTGTTAAAGAACTATCAAACTGTTTTCAATAGGTGTTGTGCCAACATTCCTACCAGTGATGGTGTTTGAGGGTTCCATTTTCTCCCTGACTTTGCCAAAACACTTGTTATCCCCCCTTTTCTTAAACAATGCTAGTGAATATTGCCACATGGGCAAGGAGGCCACATCTCCTGATCTCCTGTAACCCCACAAGAGGAAGACAGAATCACCATCAGCAGCCCAAGGACTATTCATGCAAGGCCAGACATGCTGCCTCCCATCAGCCCTTTCACCAACCGTTCCTCCCAAAACACCCACCACCTCTCTGCTGGGTTCAATAATTTGCTGCAGTGGCCATATAAAACTCACAGATTATAGGGTTTATTAGGGAAGCACTAGGTTACAATTCAAGTTCAGGAACAATGTGTAGTCTCTCTCAGCCTACCGTCTCTCAGCTAACAGTCTCTCCCAGCAGTGCGTGTCTAGGTATCTCTCTGTGTCTCTTTCTCAGCAGCGTGTGTCTCTCACGAGCACATTTCTCTCAGCAGCATGTCCTTCACAGTCAGAGAGACCCCTTCTGCCCCAAAGAGGGCTCCTTTTGAGCCTGGAAGAGTGACCAAACTAACCAATCATAACATCAGAATTCTAAATACATGAGAGAGAGCGAACTTCCCAGAACATTGCTTTGTGGCACTCGTAACAAAAATACCCCAGGTGGATAACTTTAATAATCAGGAGCTCCTCAGTTGCTCTCAGCAAATTCCATTCTTTGTAAATGGAGTTTACAAAGACTTAAAGCCAGAAAAGCCATACCAGGTAATTTACTACACTGCAAGTATGAAGTGGTATTTCATTGTGATTTTGATTTATATTACACTAATGACTAGTGGCTGGGAGCTCTGGTGGTGTAGTGCCTAAGGCATTAGACTGCTAACCAGAAGGCTGGCAGTTCAAACGCACCAGCCACTCCTCAGAAGGAAGGTTGGGCAATCTACTTTCATAGTGATATGGCCTCGGAAACCCAAGGAGGGGTCACTGTGAGTTGGATTCAGCTTGATGGCAGTGAGTTTTGTTTTTGGTTAATGACTAATGGGAGCTCTGGTGGCTCATTGCCTAAGGCATTTGACTACTGACCAGAAGGTTGGTGATTCAAACCCATCAGCTGCACCACAGAAGGAGAATGAGGCAATCTACTTCTGTAAATATTTACTGCCTTGGAAACCAATTGGGGGTCTCTATGAGTTGGAATCTATTCGATGTCAGTGGGTTCGCTTTTTTTCTTTGTTTTTTAATGACTATTGAGCTCTGGTGGTATAGTGCCTAAGGTGTTTGGCTGCTAATCAGAAGGCTGGCCATTCAAACTCACCAGCGACTCCTTGGAATGTAGATTGGGCAATCTACCTCTATAGAGTTACTGCCTCAGAAACCCAAGGAGGAATCACTATGAGTCAGATTTGACTGGACAACAGTGAGGTTTTTTTTTTTT